ATTCTAGCACTTTGGGAGACTGAAGCGGGTAGATCACAAAGAAGTTCGAGACCAGCCTGGCCAATATGGTGAAACCCCGTCTCTACTTAAAAAATACAAAAATTAGCTGGGTATGGTGGTGTGTACCTATAGTACCAGCTAATCGGGAGGCTGAGGCAGAAGAACCGCTTGAACCCGGGAGGCGGTTGCAGTTAGCCAAGATCGTGTCATTGCATGGGACAGCGCAAGACTCCATCTCCCCCACCCCCGCCCCCCAAAAAAGGCATTTTGTTCTAATTTTAATCTGCATTTTTTGGTTTTCTGTTCTTTTCAACAAATAATAAAAGGTATTTAAGTACATTTGTTCTACTTGTTATACATAATTCCCATTTACTTTGGTTACTAGAAGCTTAAAATGTTTAGTTAAAAACATCCATGTTTTCCTTACTGATTTCTTCTAAACCTCCTAGACTTAGAAAACCATCCTAGCAAGAGCTGATAATTTCATTTCACAGATCAAAATTAATTTGTTTGGAAAATGAGAAACTACTATTCTGAGGGGAAAAAATTTTGTTTCAGGAAAACAAATGCTTCTAAACAAATCAACTGTATCAGAGAATTCCCAATATCATAATAATATATTAAAATAATGCTTCTTAAATCTTTATACTTTCATAGAGGAATGACTAATACTGATGATATCCACAGTAGTTATTAAAAAGTAAGATGAAAAAGTGTTACTCCAAAGCACACACTGAACTAAGATGGAACTGCAATGTAAATAAGTTAACTTCTGCCTGGGCTGGACATCTTCCATTTGCCCTCTAGATCCACTCTCCACCTTTCTCCTCTTTGCAGACTGGAGAAAGGAAAGAAAATTAGTTTAGTATATTTTCCCCCCAGCTCTCTCACTGACAGGCAACCTATGACTGGCTGTGTCAAGGGACTGGCTTGTCTTTCAATGTAGCCCTTTCTTCCCTTCAAGGTTTCAGTAACCTCTGTTCTTCTCTTCCTTCAGGATTAGAGGTGGTGATAATAATCTTGAGGTTGTAAGCTCCAGGGTACTGCACAATCTGGCTGTTTCTCTATGCCATTACCATACTGTTTGATCATTTGATCTCTTCATTAAATTCTCCTTGAATTACTATAATTTGAGTGCAACTTCTACTTCTTAATGGGACCCTGACTGAATGAATTTCTTTCCCTCCCTCCCTTCCCTCCCCACCCCCGCTTTCTTTTTTTGAGACAGAGTCTTGTTCTGTCACCACGGATACAGTGGACTGGGGCCATCTCTGTTCACTGCAACCTCCACCTCCTGGATTTAAGTGATTCTCCTGCCTCAGCCTCCCTTGTAGCTCAGATTACAGGGGCCCACCACCACTCCCGGCTGATTTTTTTTTTTTTTGGTAGAGACAGGGTTTTACCTGTTGGCCAGGCTGGTCTCTAACTTCTGACCTCTGGTGATCTGCCTGCTTAGACCTCCCAAAGTACTGGAATTACAGGTATGAGCCACCACACCTAGCCCTGACTGAACCAATTTCAAAACATTTTTTTAGATCCAGAAAAAAAACAAACTGATGACTGTGGAACACAAATAATATAAAAAGCAAATATATTTATCATCCTAAGGCAAATATTTTACTTGAGAAAAATAACATAAAGTTTGCAATAAAAAATTTAAAATTTGTCCTTAAAAATGTAGTCTATAAAATGTAGGCCTTGTTGGATCCTGATTGAAAGAACAATTACAAGGCCGGGCGCGGTGGCTCACGCCTGTAATCCCAGCACTTTGGGAGGCCGAGGCAGGTGGATCACGAGGTCAAGAGATCGAGACCATCCTGGTCAACATGGTGAAACCCCATCTCTACTAAAACTGCAAAAAATTAGCTGGGCATGGTGGCGCGTGCCTGTAATCCCAGCTACTGAGGAGGCTGAGGCAGGGGAATTGCCTGAACCCAGGAGGCGGAGGTTGCGGTGAGCCGAGATCGCGCCATTGCACTCCAGCCTGGGTAACAAGAGCAAAACTCTGTCTCAAAAAAAAAAAGAAAGAACAATTACATAAAAACATTTTTGAGATAACCGAGGAAACATAAAAATAAGACTAATGGATGATATTAAGGCATGATTATTTTTGTTGAATCAATAATGGTAATATGGTTTTTGTTTAAGTCCTTATGTTTTAGAGATACATAATGATGCTTTTACAAGTAAAATCATATTATGCTTAGAGCCATATAAAAATATTTCAGAAAAAATGAGGTACATAAAAGACATGAAACAAAACAGAATGCCATTCTATTTATGCATGTCTGAAAATTTCCATAATAAGAAGTTCAAAAAACTATAGAATATAAAATTATTATGTTAAAAAAAAAACTGAAAACTACCTGTCTATAAACAGAGGACTGGTTAAATCAATTATGTCTTATATACATTGTGATAATAGCAAGAAATGGTGTGAGGAGTCTTCAGGCCCAATTCCATTTATCTCCATTAACCAAGTCTTAAGCCACCTCCAATAAGGATAAATGTAAGTCAAAACTGTGTGCTAGTCATGCAAAACAGCTATAATACAAATTACGTACCCCTTTTCCAATGAGATTATCACCATAAACTCCTCACATCAGTTCTCCATCAACCTTTTTTTTTTTTCCTGAGAGTCAGGGTTTTGCTCTGTAGCCCAGGCTGGAGTACAACAGCATGATCACAGCTTACTACAGCCTCGACCTCCTTGGCTCAAGCAATCCTGCCACCTCAGCCTCCTGAGTAGCTGGGACTACAGGTACATACCACCACTCATGGCTAATTATTTATTTTTTGTAGAGATGGGGTCCCACTATGTTGCCCCAGCTGGTCTGAAACTCCTGGGCTCATGCAATCCTCCCACCTCAGCCTCCCCAAGTGCTGAGATTACAAGTATGAGCCACTGCACTGGGCAATTCTCCATCAACCTTTCTACATATAAATGAAATAACATGAAATGGTATCAAAAGCTGTTCAAAAATATTAGGTGAAAAAGGCAGCTTATGAACTACTATATATTGTATTTTACTAGTAAAAACATAAATCATATGATTCCCAAAGATGCTGGAAAAATGGCAGGCACCATGGCTGATGCCTGTAATCCCAGAAATTTGACAGGCTGTGGCAGAAGGATCACTTAAGGCTAGGAGTTTGAGACCACACTGGGAAACATAGCAAGACTCTGTCTCTACAAAAAATAAAAAAATTAGCTGGACATGGTAGCATCTGCCTGTAGTGCTAGCTACTCAGGAGGCTGAGTAAGGCAGGAGGATCACTTGAGGCCAGAAGTTCAAGGCTGCCATGAACTATGATCTCGCCACTGCACTCCAGCCTGAGTGACAGGACAAGATCTTGTCTCAAAAAAAAAAAAAAAAAATGATACAATAAAACATTAAATCATTAAGGGTTGTTTCCCTTCTTTCTTGTTTCTAATATACTATTTTTAAACAGAAATTAAATGCTTTTTAAAAGAACTATATTCAGCAGAAGAGTGGTCAAATGGTCAATTAAGGCTCATTTCTAAAGCTTAATGAGAACTTTATCATTAAAACATCATAAATTAGGGTAAACTCTAAAGAATGCCCTAATGCCAGATTATTAACGATAGATGGCAGTAAAATACTGGTTGTCAATCTGTCACTATTTATTAATCTGAGGTTGGAATTACCATTCAAGGACACTTACATGATGTGAACAAATCTGTAAATCAGATTTAGATTTAAACGTCCACATTTGTCTGATTTTCAGATATCATTTGCTGGTGTACAAACCCATCAAAAGAAACACTTTTTACTAATTACTTTCTTTCAGTTTGCAGTTTCACCTTCCAAGTAAGGGTGGAAAGATTTAAAAGAACATATGTGTGCCTAGACATTTCAAAAGCAGACTGCTGCAAAACTAGTGCTAACAAATTCATCCTGTCTTTTAATATAGACAGAAATCCCACTTCCACTAATAGCACTAAGGGACAGAAGAAAGCAATGTAGAGAAACCCTAGTCTCACATAAATGACAAGTGTGATATAGCAAATCCCTCGATGAATTCAAGTGTAAAAAGGAACAGCATGCCCACCCTCAAGCCAAAAGCCAAAAGTGCTTTAAGTAGGTATTTCAGTGCCTATTAATTTCAGAAGCAGTAACATTAGCCTCCCAGTCTGTCGTCACTAGAAGCCCTTTGGGTTTTGAGAATTCCCAGTTGTGTCGCATCTTTCTACATAATAACAAGCTACCAAAAGACTGAAATGAATGCAAAAAACGACTAGGTTCTAGGGAAACCAGATGAGATACAAAAGAATCCAAGAGACAAATAAGGGTCCACCTGTCCTCAGGGCGCAGGAATGGTCGTTCTCATATGGGGCCAAAATAAGGTTAAAAATAACTAACTCCATGCTCTGACCAGGGCAGGGGGTGAGCGCCTGCCATCCTCATTCCAGAGGTACAGGACCGAGAAAGGGAAAGCATCTGACTGCCTCCCCCGGTCTCCTGGCGTAGACCGTTAGCGGCACCCTCCCCTTCAGTCTGAGACAGCGACGTCGTCACGTCCTGACACTTAACTCTCCTAGTGGGGTCCCTGTCCCGCCTCCACCCCAGACTTTTTCCCGCTGCCCTCAGGATGCTCACTTAAGGAAGCCGACGTGCTCTTCTCCGTCTACGAGCACTCGGGCCGCCGAGATCCAGTCCTGGGGCTTCACCCCCGGAACAACTGCACGCCCCTCAATCTTGAAGCGATCTCCTATGCCGACCCCACTCCCTCCCGATCCCTCTGCAGCAGCCCCGGGCACCTCCGAGCTCTGGACATCCCCTGACAGCAGCAGCAGCAGGACTGGAAAGAATCCCCACAGAGCGGCCGCCATGACAGAAGCTCTACACTCAGGTCGGCAGCCCCGGAAGCCTTCCCTGTCTCCCGGCCGCCACCGCCGCCGTTGGCGGCTTCATGTCGTCATCAGTGGGCGCCCGTTTCTGTCATTAACTGTGGGATCCAACCAGAGGGAAGAAATCATGGCCGATCTACTAGCGAGGCGGAAGAAAGGCGGAAGTACTGCCCTAAACTCCCGGAGTTCCGGGTTGGAAGGCGGTGCGCAGAGCATGTATCAAATGCTCAGGAAGGGGACCGCCCATGAAGTGAAAGTGAAGTGTGTGTTGCTGTGGCAGCCACAGAGGCCAGGGACCTCACAGGAGTAAAAGATGATGGGACTGCCTTCAGGAGAAACACCATCAAGAAGAGAGGTTTCAAAAAACTTCTAGAGACTCCCCAAGACGTATGAGATGAAAGGCTCCTGTCTGTGTGCGTTTAACCCATTTCTCCTTATCCCCGAGATTACGCGCTGCTGTACCTGCGACTGCAGCATTGGCGCCGGGATAACGCGTGGATTACAGTCCCGACTTTACTCCCAACGTTTGCCACAAAATATCTCGCGTCTATTATTTTTGCATGGTCCTAGTATTTTGACTTTGGAAACAAAAGACATCATTCTATTTATAGCATTCTGTTTTTAGTAGTGGTATTACCATTTACAAAATATAGTAATTCTTGATCGCTGAAATGTCAAATCCGAGAAAACGTACCATTCCTATGCGTGATGGTAATACTGGTCTCGAACAGTTGTTGGCCGAAGATTCATTTGATGAATCTGATTTCTCGGAAATAGACGATTCTGATAATTTTTCAGATAGTGCTTTAGAAGATGATAAGGTCAGGCCTCTGTCCCATTTAGAATCTGATGGAAAGAGCCCTACATCAACGGACTCAAGGCGTTCTCTGAAATGGTCAACTCGTGCTATGATTCCACGTCAAAGGTATGACTTTACCGGCACACCTGGCAGAAAAGTGGATGTCAGTGATGTCACTGACCCATTGCAGTATTTTGAACTGTTTTTTACTGAGGAATTAGTTTCAAAAATTACTAGAGAAACAAATGCCCAAGCTGCCTTGTTGGCTTCAAAGCCACCTGGTCCAAAAGGATTTTCACGAATGGATAAGTGGAAAGACACTGACAATGACGAGCTGAAAGTCTTTTTTGCAGTAATGTTACTGCAAGGTATTGTGCAGAAACCTGAGCTCGAGATGTTTTGGTCAACAAGGCCTCTTTTGGATACCCCTTACCTCAGGCAAATTATGACCGGTGAAAGATTTTTACTTTTGTTTCGGTGCCTGCATTTTGTCAACAATTCTTCCATATCCGCTGGTCAATCAAAGGCCCAGATTTCACTGCAGAAGATCAAACCTGTGTTCGACTTTCTTGTAAATAAATTTTCAACTGTATATACTCCAAACAGAAACATTGCAGTTGATGAATCACTGATGCTATTCAAGGGGCCATTAGCTATCAAGCAATATGTCCCAACAAAACGCATACGATTTGGTCTGAAGCTATATGTACTTTGTGAAAGTCAATCTGGTTATGTGTGGAATGCACTTGTTCACACAGGGCCCGGTATGAATTTGAAAGATTCAGCTGATGGTCTGAAATCATCACGCATTGTTCTTACCTTGGTCAATGACCTTCTTGGCCAAGGGTATTGTGTCTTCCTCGATAACTTTAATATATCTCCCATGCTTTTCAGAGAATTACATCAAAATAGGACTGATGCAGTTGGGACAGCTCGTTTGAACAGAAAACAGATTCCAAATGATCTGAAAAAAAGGATTGCAAAGGGGACGACTGTAGCCAGATTCTGTGGTGAACTTATGGCACTGAAATGGTGTGACACAAAGGAGGTGACAATGTTGTCAACATTCCACAGTGATACCGTGATTGAAGTAAACAACAGAAATGGAAAGAAAACTAAAAAGCCACGTGTCATTGTGGATTATAACGAGAATATGGGAGCAGTGGACTCAGCTGATCAGATGCTTACTTCTTATCCATCTGAGCGCAAAAGACACAAGGTCTGGTATAAGAAATTCTTTCACCACCTTCTACACATTACAGTGCTGAACTCCTACATCCTGTTCAAGAAAGACAATCCTGAGTATACCATGAGCCATATAAACTTCAGACTGACATTGATTGAAAGAATGCTGGAAAAGCATCACAAGCCAGGGCAGCAACATCTTCGAGGTCGTCCATGCTCTGATGATGTCACACCTCTTCGTCTATCTGGAAGACATTTCCCCAAGAGCATACCACCAACTTCAGGGAAACAGAATCCAACTGGTCGCTGCAAAATTTGCTGTTCCCAATATGACAAGGATGGCAAGAAGATACGGAAAGAAACACGCTATTTTTGTGCGGAATGTGATGTTCCGCTTTGTGTTGTTCCATGCTTTGAAATTTACCACACACAAAAAAATTATTAAATACTGATCATCGTATACATATCTGTTCCATTAGGATTAGAGACGAGTTCTATTTAGAAACAACTCCAAGATTGGGGGGCCAAGCTGGGTAGATCACCTGAGATCAGGAGTTTGAGACCAGCCTGGCCAACATGGTGAAACCCCATCTCTACTAAAAATACAAAAATTAGCCAGGTATGGTGGCACACACCTGTAATCCCAGCTACTCAGGAGACTGAGGCTGGAGAATCACTTGAACCCATGAGGCAGAGTTTGCAGTGAGCCAAGATTGCACCACTGCACTCCAGCCTGGGCAGCATCTCAAAAAAAAAAAAAAAAAAAAAAAAAAAAAAGACCAATAACTCCAAGAAAAGTTTTTATATTTTACTTATTTATTTTCTTTCCTTTCTCCAGCTTTTTTTTTTTTTTTTTTTTGAGATGGAGTCTCGCTTGGTTGCCAGGCTGGAGTGCAGTGGCATGACCTTGGTTCACTGCAACCTCTACCTCCTGGGTTCAAGCCATTCTCCTGCCTCAGCCTCTCAAGTAGCTGGGACTACAGGCATGCGCCAGCACACCCAGCTAATTTTTTTTTTTTGTATTTTTATTTTTGTTTTTAGGAGAGACACGGTTTCACCCTGTTGGCCAGGATGGTCTCAATCTCCTGACCTCACGATCCACTGGTCTCAACCTCCTAAAGTACTGGGATTGCAGGCGTGAGCCACCACACTCGGCCCTATCTTTTATTTTCATATTGAAGATTAATCAGATTTGCTTCACCCTCAAAGAGCCTGTTGATGTAAAATTAGATGAGTGCAGGCAGCGAGCTGAACTTTCGCTTTTTTTTTCCTAAACAGGAAATAGGAAGAAGATACTGTCTCTGCATAAAAATAGCTGGAAAAATACATAAGTGTTACCTTTTCTGGTGAAAAGGGTTGGAAGACAATTTATCTGATGCTACACTATGCTTCCTCTCATAATTGCTTTACTGTAAACATAACAAGAAGGTTGTAGTGGGAGGAGGGGGGTTGCTTGCTGTCAGTGTTGATCTTTGGGGCCTTAGCCAAGATTTCAGACATCATTTGCTCCAGTCCTTTCATTTTCTTTATGGTGAAAAGTAAAGTAACTTGCCTAAGATTTTTCTTGGTCCTAAACACTAATGTCTCTACTACAGATCCCTATTAAGGGTAATGCATGTTTTAGCCTGTGCACTTTTTTAAGAGTTAGCATCCTGGAGAAGAGTAACAACAACTGAAAAAAGAGATTCAAGAGTCAAGTACTCAGCCCATGGCAGGGGATGGGGAAATGGTGCCTGGAGCCACCCCTATACTCGAGTCTCCCTGGCATCAGCTACTGCAGCATTGGGGTACTTTCCCTTGTCTTTTTCTGAAGATAGTTATTTCTTCATATCTGATGGTTGGAAAGAGCAGAACTGCTCAGAAAACAAACACATTTGACTTTCTTGTCTGCCAGATAAATCTCTTATTTGTCAGGGAACTGGTAACCTAGGATCAAGAAGTGTGTGGAGAATGTCTACTTTCATTCTTTTTACTTTAAAATATGCTTTAGTTTTTGAATAGATAGGACACTCAAGTGTCAGAAAGCAAAAGTCAGCTCAGGACCGAGAAAGGAAAGATCAGTGCTAATTTTAATCAGACTGTGATGTACCTACTAGATACAGATAGGGCCAGTGGCAAGGCCATCAGAAAACGTTTTCCCAAGGCCACACCACACCTGTAAAACACCTAATAACTTTCTTTTTTTCAGTGATTACCACTTACTTACCAGTGACTTCACTTTGTTCCTCTTGCCTCTGAACAGATTGCTGAGATACTCAATCCAGAGCTGATCCTTGCCTCCCTAGACTCTCCTCAGTCATTCAACAGAAGCCCAAATCCTGTAAAAGTTCCTTTCTGTTCTCTCTTACTGTTATATCCTTGGTTTCTCTGGTGTGGAGTCTTCTTTATAGCAGCAAACTCATAAACTTAACTTTGACTGCAGGTGTATTCCTTGGTGGTCTTTATCTGATAGACTTTGTCACATGGTACAATATTCAAAAGGTATTCCAAAAAAAATTTTCCACCTACTTCTCTCCTTAGTCACCCAATTCTCAAGAAGCAATCAGTGTTGCCATTTTCCTGAGTATTCTTCCAGATATAGTAAATTATCTGCAGAAAAATGCATACATTAAAAATAAGGCTAGGCACAGTGGCATGCCTGTAGTCCCAGATACTCAGGAGGCTGAGGCAGGAGGATCACTTGAGGCCAGGAGTTTAAAGCTGTAGCGTGCTATGGTAGTAGGCCTGTGAATAGCCATTGCACATCATCCTAGACAACATAGCCAGACCCTTTCTCAAAAAAAAAAAAAAGAAAAAAGAAAAAGAAATACATGTAGTTGTTTTTATTAAAGAACAAATCCATATATACATATATATGCATATATATAGTATGCTACCAGTTGTATGAAAAAAGGCAAAATATGTATTTATTTAATTTATAATATACAAATAACATTCTAGAAATAAAAGTATTAATATAAAATATACTATAATATATAATGTATTACCTAATTATATATACTATAATGTGTACTGTGTTTTACATATATATTTTCACAGCATACCATAAATGCAATTCTGCACTTTGCCCTTTTTACTTAATATATCGTGGAAGTCATCCTTTATTAGTAAAGAGCTTCATAATTCCTTTTTATGGCTGCAAAATGTTCCAGCTTATGGGTGGACTGATTCTCCATCGAGCAACATTAAGATTGTGTCCTACTGTACTATTCCTAATTTTGCTGAAGTGAATTTCTTTTGCCACGTGATTTCCAGTGTATATATATATAGTATAATCAGTACTAGCAGAAAGTAGAATTGCTAGATCAAAGAATATGTGCCTTTGTAATTTTGATGATATTGTGAAATCTTCCACAGAAGTTGTTGCAACTTTCACTCTCACCAGCAATGTGTAAGATGGCTTGCTCCTCCATACCCTCACCAACAATGAGCTACCAAATGTTATCTTGCCAAGCAAATAAATTAAAAATGATATATCAGTTTTTTGTTTGTTTGTCTGTTTGGTTGGCTGGTTTTTGAGACATAGTCTTGCTCTGTCACCCAGGCTGTAGTGCAGTGACACTGTCTTGGCTCACTGCAATCTCTGCCTCCCAGGTTCAAATGATTCTCCTGCCTCAGCCTCCCGGGTAGCTTGGACTACAGGTTTGTGCCACCACACCTGGCTAATTTTTGTATTTTTAGTAGAGATGGAGTTTCACTATGTTGGCCAGACTGGTCTCTAACTTGACCTTGTAATCAGCCCACCTTGGCATTCCAAAGTTGCCCAGGCTGGAGTGCAATGATACAATCTCAGCTCACCGCAACCTCTGCCTCCTGGGTTCAACCTCAGTGTCCGAGTATCTGGGATTACTAGGCACCCACCACCACACTCAGTTAATTTTTGTATTTTTAGTAGAGACAGGCTTTCACCATGTTGGCCAAGCTGGTCTCAAACTCCTGACCTCAGGTGATCCACCCACCCACCTCAGCCTCCCAAATTGCTGGGATTACAGGTGTGAGCCACCATGCCTGGCCCTTCTTGGTTTTTTAATCCTTCTTCTGCCATATGGTGAATTAAATCTAAGTTGTATTGTAGGATTAATGGAGAGCAGCTAAAGAGGAATAAAGTCATGTGTTCAGCCAAGGATAGTTATCATGAAGGATAAAAGCCTCAAAATCCTGATTTTAAAATCAGCCCACGTTGAGCTGAACCCTGAGACAGGCCTTTGTTTCAGTCCCAAACAGAGCAGAAGTAAGCATTTTTGGAACCATAACAAAAAGATTATTTGAGAAATAATGGAATGGGACAAAAGATTATAATGTGCTACAGCCCACTGACCATTACACACTTTCTAAACTATGAATAAAATTTTATTTTTCAAAAATGATTTCAAAAATGGCAAAATTTAGAAACATGCTGAAATAAAAACAGCTTCATCCCAAGTTTCCTGATTTTTTTTTCCATATATTTTTGGTGCCCCCTCTTTGCTGGTGGTATCTTAGACACTTGTTCAGTTTGACTAACAGGTAATCAGTGCTCATCACAATACCTCAGATAGGATCTGGGAAGTTTACTATTCAGTAGGACAAAAGGTGGAAAAGGACCAGCAGTGAACAGCAACTGAGGTCTCTGTATCCCCATTTTTGCCTTCCTTTCCCTTATTGCTACGCATACTAAACTATCCAATGCTTCGAACCTCTCGTATGTCAGGCTTATACCCCCGTAGGCATTACATGGAGAAGAAAAGCCTGAGTGATGTTTTCAGGGAGGTGAAATTCTGTTATCTCTACTGCTTTCCAGGTAGGCCAGAGGAATTGGATAGAGATTCAACTCCAAATTATGTGTTTTCCCATAATGTAGCCCTTGGACTCATGCTTTATAAAATAAACTATAATGAAAATATTGTAGAAAGATTTTATACTGGACTGGCTCAGTTTGTCTAGCTAGATCACTTTTTTTTTTGAGACGGAGTCTGCTCTGTCACCCAGGCTGGAGAACAGTGGCGCAATCTCAGCTCACTGCAACCTCCACCTCCTGGGTTCAAGTGATTCTCCTGCCTCAGCCTCCCGAGTAGCTGGGACTACAGGTGCATGCCACAACACCCAGCTAATATTTTTATTTTTAGTAGAGACAGGGTTTCACCATGTTGGCCACAATGGTCTCAATCTCTTGATGTCGTGATCTGCCCACCTTGGCTCCCCAAAGGGCTGGGATTACAGGCGTGAGCCACCATGCCCAGACCAGCTAGATCACTTTCTACTCTCACCCTGCTTTGTGTCCTGGAAGGCTGGACCCTTAAGGGCTGCAAAAATTCAGTTCCATTTCCTTCTGGCTTCCTGTTTGGTTCAGCCAATGGGAGCTGTCTACTAGTAACACACCCCTTGCAGTTTCTCCTAACACTCCCCATACTTCAAGAAAAGATTAATGAAGTTTACAATCACCTTTTTTGAGTGTTCCCTTTGTTTCCTGCCAAGACC